TATAATTTGCTTGTTAAATACAAACCAAGTTTAAAGTCCCTTAAGAGACTGAATAATCCATTGTTTAGAGCCCTAAATTAGAATTTTTGGAGTATGGTCCATATTTAAAACACTGTTTGATTTCTGTTACGGTGGCAGTGTAAAATAGTTGTTAATGGCAAAGTATAAACAGAAGCAATAGCTGGTTGAGATTACAAAAAAATGTACTGCTTTTATCTGGGAATGTTAGTAAGAGCTCTGGAGAGTTTGATATTCTTACATATTTTCCTAAAAAATGTCAAAATGAAACATTTTGCCTCTATAACATTCATCTGAAATTCAAAGAGTATCAATGCATGACAAACAAATCAAAATAAAATACTGCTTTTAAAAGATATTTCACTATCATTAAAAGGATGAAAATATAATAGCTTTTACTAGTATGAATTTTAAGGGCAAACTTCTTACTGGAAATCATATGCATACAAAATACTTTATTCTTGTATATGAAACAACTTTCAAATGTAATTGTACTCCTGCAAAGTTGGAAATAACAGTCTTGGGATTTGGCAGTAAGAAATATTAACTAGTAAAAGTCAGCAGCACAAAACCTCAAACTGTCGTGCTAAAAGGTAGATTAAAAATGTCTTACATGTCAATTTACAAATTGCAAGAATTCAACTCTTATTGTGAAAGGATAAAAATATTAACAGTCTGTGGATCGCCAAAAAACACAAAACACTGTTAACATCTGAGCCCACAAAACAGTTTGGTTATACCCACAATGATTCCCTTATAGTGGAGATGGTTTTCTTTTTGTTGTTGTTTTTGTTTTTTTTTTGTTTGGCACTAGAGGTAGGTGATTATATTCTCAGACATAAAGTTGTGGTCATATTCAGCCTATTTTTGTTTTCCTTTTTCCAGAGTGCCATTTGTACCTTTCCAATACCAAAATTTAGATATATGCTTCTTTGTTGGCAGAGTTGCTTTGCTGGGCTTGTTCTGGCCCACTTTCAGGATGAGTTATGTCTTCACTTGGCTGAATCATTACTTGGATACGCTATTTTAAAAAGAATGAAATAAGATTACTGGATAAATTTTTCATTCAAGTCAGATCTATCATAATCCTTGCATTATAAGATAACCTTGAATTCAGATGCACTCCCATTTTCTCTTAATTTAAGAAAAAAAATAGGACAGCAAATAGACAGACAGTGGGTGTATCTACATGAGACATTTACTGTGGAGTAGACAAATTAGCTCCACGCTAAACATTGGACAGCCACACTTGTTCCCCTATTAGCTTGGAGTAAACTAATTAACTCTGCAGCAGGATAGTGGGCCTGTGAGAAGCAACTAGTATTCGCTTTGGATCTGGCTGATTTTGGGGGACAGTGATTCAATTCGGTGATTTGAATCACTGCCCTGAATCAATCTGACCAGATCTAATTCAGATATTCGGCTGCTGCCAAATCAGCTGAATCTCTGAATCATGCAGGCCCCATCCCCTGCCTGCTCTCCCAGCCCTGGCAATGGCTGCCCCACCTGCCCCAACTCCCGGCTCCTTGGAAAAAAAAGCCTCCACTCACCAGGTGCTGCCATGTGTGGGGGGTCATCTCTGCTGCCCCCACTGCCCCACATCATGTAGGGGGCTCTGCCACAAGCCCCCCCAAACCCCACCCACTCTTCCAGCTCTTCCACACCATGGCTGCCCTGACTGCCCCAGCTCTGGCCCTTTAAAAACAAGACAAAACAAAAAAACCCCCAGACTCACTGGATCCTTCTCAGCAGGGGTACAATCCCCACTGCCCCGCACTGCCGCACACTATGTGGGAGGCTGTGTACAAGCCCCCAGAAGCCCTGAGGCCGCTGCAGCAGCCAGTGAGTCTGGGTTTTGGGGTTTTTTTCTTAAGGGGCCAGGAGCTGGCCTGGGTGGGGCAGCCATGGGGGGGCTGGGACAGTGGGCAGGGGTTGGGAGGATTGTGACAGAGCCCCCATGTGGCATGGGGCTATGGGGTGCAGCAGGGATCACCCCCCCAGCCAGCAGCACCCAGTGAGTGGGGGCTTTTTTTTAAAGGGCTAGGAGCTGGGGCTGGGCAGGGCAGATATTGGGTGGGCCTGGGGGAGCGGACAGGGGTCGGGAGGAACTCAGGGGGGCTGGGGGAGCAAGTAGTGGATGGAGCCTGGTGGGGGTTCCCCCTATGGTCCCCCTCCTCCTTCCTCTAGCGCCCCCCCCACCAGCTCAGAGTCCAGGTCCAGCTCCCTGCTGCAGTGGGCGGGGACAGCCTGAATCACGGAAGCTCTCTGAATCTTTTCCAAATCGATTTGGAGAGCTTTAAATCAATTTGGACCTTTTAACTGGTCCCCTGATTCGATTCAGATTCTGAGATTCAGCCACCAAATCCAGCTGAATTCTCCTCTGAAGTGAATCAGCACCTGAAGTTCCGCACAGCCCTAAAGGATAGCACTTTTAAATACAGGTACTATCCTGCTGTGGAGTTTGTTATGTGGCAGCAGCATACATATAGAATCTGCCCTTCCTGGGGCTTGAGGGTGCTTCAGTGAGGGGGATGCCTGCTGACTAGCCCTGCAGTGGAGCACCCTCGTACCCCAGCAAGATTCTCCGCAGAACACTGAGCCGGGGCGGGGGGGAAGGGGAGGGGGATCCAGGGCTGCTCTACCGAAGCTCAACATGCTGCAGTCATGGATGCATGTTCAAACAGCATGCCTGGGAGCAACACATTCCAAAACAATAAGCTCTGGAGTTTATTGGTCCATATTAACTGCATGTGTGTATGTGCCCAGTTATAAGAATACAACCTCTACAGTTCATGTGAGAGCTTCCTGCTCTTAATCAACATTGCAGTGGAGTTCAACTAAAGGATGTTTCAGTCCTTCCACTTCGGATCCTACCTGGGGCCCAGTAATGATGTAACAAATATAAAGTGAAAGTTTTAAAATTAATTAGCAGATTTTGATGCTCCAGCAAGATTTAGAGTTCTGCCTAAACATTTTTGTCAGTATTGCTTTTTCTGAACTGGTTTGTCTATCCTTAGTCACAATTTAGATAAGCATCTAGGCTTTTTACCTTTTATTAAAACCTTTAGTAATCCCTTATAAAAAATGTCCTGATCAAATGCTATAGACTGAATCAAAAAGATTAACAGTTTGCTTATAAGTAAACACTTTCAATAGCTGTGTTAATAACAAACTTTAAGATAAATACTAGTATCAGCAGTCTGCTTTTATCATCTTATAGTCATTTATCAAACCTTTCTATACAGAATTATATGAAGGATAACCAAACAAATCAGGTTCTATTATGGGCTTAAAAAGCAGAGCCAAAGCAGCAGCTATCTCCATAAGGAACAAGATTCTAGCTTGATGTAAATATTATAGTAATATATACATAAATATAACATAATCAGGTGTCCTGATTGAAGAATACCCTGCTTTCAAAAGGTTTTCTAACTAACTTTATCCCAAACATGCAGTCCGTCCAATAAAAAATATCACTCAAAAAGTTAGATATAATTTTGATCATATATATCAACATTGCTATTTGATTTGCCAGGTATAAAGTGCTAGGAAGCCAAGTGTTTGGAACTGACAGGGCCTAATTATAGTGATATCTGTTATACCAACAGCTGCATTACTATCTGAAGTTTTTAAGAAGACTGTTAGCCTTATTATTTTTCATGCTGATATTCTTGGTTTCATGTTCTTACATTTGCTATAAAATGCCTGAGCTAAGACGATAAATGCTGGGAAGCAACAATATACCCATCTCGTCAGATATCCCAATGAACACCTTGCAAAAATAAATAAATAGATAAATGTACCTGAAAAATAGTGACCTACCTGTTTTAAGGAGCCTTTTAAAGTAAGAAACATGTATGCCATATAGCCTGGAATCAGCACCATAGAAGAAAGAGCCATGAGCCAGCCAACCCCTTGGCCCCATGTTGGGAAAACATAGTTCCCCATAGTAAGAGGAGTCATCTGGACAGCACTGAAGATAAACACTCCCTGAAAAATAAATTTAAAACAGTCAAGGTGGCTTTAATTCCTAAAGGTCTCTGTGTTTTCTACAGAACTCTATTGGATTGACTTGGGTTCAGTCATAAGACTGCTTCTGCAGCCATGCACGGAAGTTAAGTGCCCCCTTAAGTACTCACATCACCAGGCTCTAGCTTCAGGCCTGGGGGCACAGCCACTGATACAAGGTGGAGGAACTTTGGCTCATCCACTTGAATGTGCTGGCAAGTACATCTGTGCCACTGGAGACAAGAGGAGTATGCTGTGAAAGGAAATGGCTTCCATGGCTCAGAGCAAGATGGAGCTAGGAGCTGAATTCTGACTGAACCCCATTCCAAGGCTCTTTGGATGGAACAACTACGTGCTCAATGGGGTGGATTGCAAAGTTGTGTTTGAGCCCTTGAGTAGGACCTGTGAGAGAAATTTGGGGGTTTGGTGCTTTCTCATGGGAGGCACCTCCCATTTGGGAAGCAGGAAATAGACATTTTATTTGAATTTTAAGTTGATTTTATAAGATTTTAAATACATTTATAGAGATCAGACTTAATTTACACACTTTATTACATAAGGTACTTGCAATTCTCACAATTTTGGCAGCTCCCCAAGCTTGAGGACCTGATACAACTGTACTCTCATTTTTTCCTACCCCAACCCTGCCATAGGCCCTAAAATTGCAAATCTGCAACAAAAAAAGAAATCATTATTGGTAATGATTTGTGTTTATCTGCTTTAAATCAGGGATTGGCAACCTATGGCCTGCAGGCCAGATGGACTAGACGGATTCTGCAGATCACTGAATGCAAGCAACATGCAAAAATGCATTTAATATTGTGTCTCTTTTCCTTAAAATTGTCAATTTGTTTTGCTGTGGCCTTGAGCTACTGTGAATAATTTCCCATCTTAAGAAATAAAGAACAAACTTTAATTATGTGCATGCCTTACATGATTCTGAACAAATCTATATGTGAGTTATTTTCTGCTCAAAGTCAAAATCCAATACCTTTACTCACATTGAACAATTCCTTGCTCATGTTGTTATCATCAGTTTTAAGGGACAGTAGGGGGGGAAGCAAGCTATTTTTCAGTGTAAGACTGAATCATTCTTGTTATGATCCATGAGTAATTGGACCGTTGTCTCCCTAGTCGTTGGGTACTGCATGGAGTTGGGGTCTAACATCTTGGTGTAGTAAGCAGGATTCGACACACATTTGGAGGGGACTGATCATCGTGATCCTACCAGGGTAAGGCCTTGCAGGTGTAGTGGGTTCTCTTGGGCCTGGACCACCTTGGCATGAACTAAGTTCTCCTGGGCTGCCTCAGCTATCATACCCCATCTTTTACCCTTCCCCAGTAGCATGGTAGTGGGTTCAGAGGATTTTCTTCTGTGTGTGGGGTGGGTCAGGGTGACCTCTGTGTTTTTACTGAGAGTTGGGTTAAATGAAATGGGGGTCTGGGACCCCAGGAGAATCCATCTAACCCAGCTTGGATTATGGCCCAGAGTTGGGCCTAGGGAATTTTATGTAATAGATCATGGAAGCAGGCCTTCTGTAAAGCAACTGCCCTCCAGGCTTTAGCTTGGAGTGTTCAAGACATCACCTCCAGACTGCTGACACCTAAGAGACAGAGTAAAGCCTGCATTCTGCCCAGATGTACCTGAATTCTTATGACAGCCCTGGGCTTAGTAGATACAGAATTGTTTACCTGTCTGTATTGTTCCTTTTTTGTTCTTGTTCTGCATCAATAAATTCACCTATTATTGACTGGCAAGTGTTGTGGTCAGTCTGAGGATTGTGTCTGTCCAAAACAAAGGTATAGGTGCTGGGTTCAAATCCAGTCCAACAATTGGCAACTCTACCAAGATGCCAGAGTAGTAACCTGACTGATCAGAGAATTTGTTGATGCAGAGTGATCTGTTTTAGAGGGGTTAGCTGAAACTTGTAGTAAGGTAAAGTTATATAGGAAGTAACTGAAGTTATAAATATTGTGCAGGAGATGTTGTTTGTTACTTCTGACCAGGAAACTTTGTTTGTCCATGTTAGGCAGAGTAGCAGACATGAGTATATGCTGTGGTCTGCTTAGAATTAAGTAAGAACCTCCTGTTGTGTTTATAATAGGAAGCTAGAAAGCAAAGAAAGTCATCTCTCTGCTGGAAAGGCTGTAGGAACGAACAGGGTCTTTAACTCTAAGGTCCTTAGGAGAATAATTACAGTCTTCTATGCAGAAAGAACAAAAGCAGATGTGTTTTTGCTGTGAAGTTTCTAAAGTGTAAGTTAGCAATGTAGGTTATAGCAAGATAAAGTGTTATACAGGCAGGATAGCGTCAGAAAAATCAAAGATAATTAGAGAAATGTAAGACAGACACTCCAGAATTCTGTGTGTACCAAAAAATAGAGGCAAAAGTAGCACAGAAAGAGACAAGGTATGTTACTAGATATCTGCTCAGGCAGTGGCAGAGAATTTGTTATTAGAAGTGAGGGGAAACTTGGTTCTCCCTCCTGCCTCTCCAGGAACAGTGAAAAGCCTAGAAAAGATAGAGATTGTTACAACAGTGTAACAGCTTGATTAGGAAACATCAGGGTACAGCTGTGTAAAGAGAGATCATTGCCTAGAATTAATTTGAGTTACTCTGAGCAGGGAGAGAGGAGTGAGCTTATCAGAGGCATGTTTTGTTTTTCTCTGAAAAGGCATAGTTTAAAAGTTTCCTTTTTAAGGTAGGAAAATTTTTCTTAAAGGGATTGTGTGTAGTGTGTAATTTGTCACCCACGGTCTTCAAAAGATACTTTCTTAGCCCTAAAGTGGAGCTTGCTGAGCTGTACAGCTGTAAGAGAAAGAAATTTGATGCATAAATTGATTTGCAAAGAGCAAGGCAAGAAGGGGTCACTGATGAGAATGGATTATGAAGCCTGTAGCCCAGAAAGAGTTATGGTTAAAATATATTAAGGAAAGGGAAAACTAAAAGTTAAGTAAAACCTAGAAAAAGTGTTAGGATTCAAAAGAGTTGCTGGAGAGAGAGAGAAAGGAAAGACAAAAATCTAATAAAGAGTCTGCAAAGCCCTAAAAAAACAAGTGATCTAGTAGTCCAGAGAAGGGGAACAAAGAAGAAGATCACTGTTAAAGCCACCAGAGCTGGGAGCTTGCAATCTCAACTGACCAGAGGGGGGGCCAAGAAGCCCAGAAGTCAGAGACTGTGTCCATAAGAAGTAAAGAAGACCAGAGCAGGAGAGTAGAGAGTTTAATCCTAAGTATGACCTAAAACTGCCACCCTCCTAGGTGTGGTTAGTGTAGTAGAGCTACCTGTAGCAGGGTAGGCTCTACAAAATGCTGCATAATAACCACCTTAGGGAAGCAGCAGAGGCAAATATAAGTGCCTTAAAAACCTCAGCTCTCACCTCCTTGTAAGTTATCTTTCATTAACAAAAAGCTAAGGGGAGAATACTCCAACAGAAAAAACTGTTGGTGTAAGCCAAAAAAAAGATGTGTGGCATGAAATGCCCACCACTTTAAGAGAAGAACTCTTCTGTAAAAGCAGCCTCTGCAAGGTGCCAAGAGGAGAAATTTTTAAATAAGTGCCAACCTGGCTATAAGCCAAGCAAAGCCAGCCACAGTGTATAAACAAACTAATGAAAAGGGGTGAGCCCCTCCCTTTTTGTCCTTGTGTTTTACAGGATGGACCCACCACTGAAGACAAGAAAAAAATCAAGCTTGACTGTGTCATATGTAATAATTGTGTTTTACTATGTTTGTAAAAAGCTGTTGTTATAAGTAATTGTGATGTCAACTATGATGAACTATGAAATGTAAAGCAAAATTTCTTAATAAGCTATAAAATACCTGAAGAGTGGCTACAAAAATGATACATCACACAGAGCATCACCTCCAAGACCTCGCAGAGTTCAGCTGTGCCAAAAATCAAGAAGGCTACTGAATTGTTTGTTTTATTGTTGTCCTTTGTTTCCCTTTCCCCCCCTTGTTTTTGTCTTGTTTGTGTTAAAATTAATGTATTTTTAATTTGTACAGTAGAAATAGTAATGTAATGTCATTTTGTTAATTCCTGAAATTTATGCAAAGATTAGAAACACAAAGCGAAATGATAAAATCCTAAGGAAAACCAGGGCCTTCCTGTGCAAAGAGCATACCTAATTTCCATGGCAAGTTAATAAAAGTCCTAACCCTAAATTTATCCAAACTTTTACAAAATGAAGAGGCACTAGTAGTGCTACAATAGCACCAAGCATCTAGTTAATATTCAGCTGCATATTCATGCCAATGCAAAAGCAGAAAATATTCCTATGGTACCATCGTCCCAGTTCCTGGCTTGGTCCCAGGCTAGAAAGTAAATAGCCTAAGCACTGTCTCACTCATTACCAACGGTGGGCAAAAAGGTCAGTCCTTTGTCCGAGTAACACAAAGCACCGTCTACCTTGCCAGGCCCAAGGGGTGTAATGTGTGGAGAAAGTGATGACCTCTGGAGAATCAGCTAGGTTTCTCTGTTGCTGCGTATACTAATTCTGTGAGGGAGTGCTAGGGTGACAATATTTGGATCTTGGGGAGCACTGGATTTGCAGCTGAATAAAGGCTTGTATCTGTCTCTCAGCAAAAGCTGCTGGTCACAAGGCAGGGTGATACATTAAAAGTAACTAACTTTGTGAATGCTTAAGCAAGCAGTTTTCTAACAATGGGATTCATAGATTCATAGATGTAGGGTTGGAAGGGACCTTGTAGATCTTCTAGTCCAACCCCCTGGTGCGGGCAGGAGAGAAAACTGGGCTCAGATGACCCCAGCCAAGTAAACATCAAGCCTTCTCTTAAAGACCCCCAGGGTAGGAGCTATCACCACTTCCCTTGGAAGTTGGTTCCAGATCCTAGCTGTCCTGACTGTGAAGTAGTGCCTTCTAATGTCTAATCTAAACCTACTCTCTAGCAGCTTATGGCCGTTATTCCTTGTTACTCCAGGAGGCGCTCAGGGGAACAAGGTCTCTCCCAAACCCCTCCGGTCCCCACTAATAAGTTTACAGATGGCCACCAGGTCCCCCCTCAGCCTTCTCTTGTGAAGGCTGAACAGGTTCAGGTCCCATAGCCTCTTCTCATAGGGTCTGCCCTGCTGTCCCCAGATCATGCGAGTGGCCCTCCTTTGGACCTTCTCAGCGCTGTCCACATCCCTCCTGAAGTGCAGCACCCAGAACTGGACACAGTAATCCAGCTGTGGCCTGACCAGTGTCGCACAGAGGGGGAGGATAGTGTGAAGAACACGATGCAGCCCACCTGCTATCATCAGGAGATAAAGCAGAAGCAAAACCTTGGAGATGGCGCAGAAGTCAGCAAGAAACCAGAAAGAACTAAAAATTCTGAAAGATTCTAGAATAAATTCCAGAATTAAAAAATCCTTCCTTCCTTTCATTGATTCCAAAATAGTAACAGTGTTGGGCCCTGATTCTTCTCTCACTGACGCTGATCTTACACCACTACCTTCAGCACAGTTATTTTTTTTAATTTGTGCAAATTAGAGGAGAGGTTAGCATTTGCATTAATATGCTAGATGGCATGATAACATTGTAGTGCACACTTTGGGTCATTTATATCCTTCAGATGAGTGTAAACATAATAATTTTTATTCCTTACTGCCACAATTATAGGAGTGAAGAATGACCAGCAGAGTTTCCACCAGATGCAAGGTCTGTATCCCACCATCTCTTGGATATTGTCATAAAATCTGTTAACGCCTGAAGTAGAGAAATAAAAAAGATATACAATTAAATTACAAGCTTAACAGGTTTGACATATTAAAAGACATTCTCTGTGCACTACTAATACTGTCCAGAGTTATCTGCAGGGTATTCTTATCAAGGTCTATTTCAGATTTGAACTTTTTGATTAACTAGGCAAGAAAAAATGTCATACAAATCCCACTAACAATAAGAGTATTATACATCATTGCTGTTGCACCACACTAGAAATAAAAAAGGACCAGCAACATGAGCCTAAACTGAAACTAGAGTGTAATTTAAAGCATTACATGGGTGCATTATTTACTCTGAAGGTAAGCAACAGCTTCTAGAAGGGCCTAGAAACAGGTCATCTGTATTTCAGCTTCAATAGCTGGATGGCTGGAGCACTCAAACAGGAAGGTAGGACCCGTGATTCTAGTACTCTGGCCTTTGCCCATGAGGGGTTTGAACTTGTGGTTTTCTGGCTTTCTAACATAGTGCTCAAAATACCACATGAGAGATTAGTTTCATAGTTTGTAGGGTCGGAAGGGACCTCAGCAGATCATCAAGTCCAACCCCCTGCCATGGCAGGAAAGAGTACTGGGTCAAACGACCCCAGAAAGGTGTTCATCTAGCCTCCTCTTAAAGACCCCCAGGGTAGGAGCCAGCACCACTTCGCTTGGAAGTTGGTTCCAGATCCTAGCCGCCCTGACCGTGAAGTTGTGCCTCCTGATGTCTAATTTGAATCTACCCTCTGCCAGCTTGTGACCATTATTTCTAGTCACTCCTGGTAGTGCTCGGGGCAACAGGGACTCCCCCAATGCCTGCTGGTCCCCTCTGACTAGTTTGTAACAGGCCACTAGATCCCCCTCAGCCTTCTCTTGTGGAGGCTGAATAGGTTCAGGTCCCTTAGCTGCTCCTCGTAGGGCCTCCCTGCTGTCCCCTGATCATGCGGGTGGGCCCTCCTCTGGACCCTTTCCATGCTGTCCACATTCCTCCTGAAGTGCAGCACCCAAAACTGGATGCAGTACTCCAGCTGTGGCCTGACCAGTGTCGCATAGAGGGGGAGTATCACC